CACACACACACACACACACACACACACACACACACACACACACACACCCCTAGTCCATGTGGCCACAATGGCTGAAGGCAAAGATTCAAGATCTGCCCCTCCTATGATTCAGCGGTGGTATGTCTGCTGGAGACTTCAATGCAAGCATCGGTTGACTGACCCCATTTCCTGAGAGACCACCTCCTCCCAGCCTCCTCCAATGCCTCTCTGAGCCATCATGTTACCCCAAGCTCAAGGGGTACTCGCAAGCCTTGTTCTTTGGCAGCTTCCACTTCGAAGCAAAACAGAAGCTGTAAGGAGACCCATACTACGGACCAGGGAAGATGTAGCTCTCGCGCTCCTGATAGGAGGCGGGTCCTCTTCTAAGTCCCTGGCCTGTGTTCTACAGGAGGTGGGACTAGATGATTACAGTGGTCCCTTCTGGCCTTGAAAGATATGAATTTGTGAATCCCTCTCTTCAGAGGTTCTGATCGTGAGCGCTTCCACTCATTGGTAGGGAGCACAGCTGGACCAACTTCAGATTTGGAGGAAATGGTTGGCTCACAAATATCCCTGTGTGTCAACGTGCTGCAACTCCAAGCTATTCAGTTGGCATGAAGGGCATTCTTACCGCTCCTTCAGGGTCTCCAGACAATACCACGGCAATGCACTTGGTGAAACTCTCTGGGTAAGGATAAAAGGGATAAAAAACAAGAGTGATATCATGGTAGGGGTCTACTATAGATCACCTAGTCAGGTAGAAGAGGTGAATGAGGCTTTATTTAAACAACTAATAAAATCATCCAAAGCACAGGCCTTGGTGGTGATGGGGGACTTCAACTACCCAGTCATCTGTTGGCAAAATAATACAGCAGGGCACAGATTATTCAACAAGTTCTTAGAATGCATTGAAGACCATTTTTTATTTGGAAGGTGGAGAAAGCAACTAGGGGAGAGACTATTCTAGGTTTGATTTTGACAAATAGGGAGAAACTGTTTGAGAATTTGAAAGTGAAAGGCAGCTTCGGTGAAAGTGATCATGAAATGATAGAGTTCATGATTCTAAGGAGTGATAGGAGGGAAAACAGCAGAAAATGATAATGGATTCAAGAAGGTAGACGTTAGCAAACTCAGAGAGTTGATAGGTAAGATCCCATGGGAAGCAAGTCTAAGGGGAAAAACGGTTCAAGAGAGTTGGCAGTTTTTCAAAGAGACATTATTAAGGGCACAAGAGCAAACGATCCCACTGCATAAGAAACCACCTGGCTTAACCTGAAGATCTTCAATGACCAGAAACTCAAAAAAGAGTTCTCCAAAAGGTGGAAACTAGTTCATATTATGAAGGATGAACATAAAAAAAAGAACACAACCATGTAGGGACAAAATTAGAAGGGCCAAGGCACAAAATGAGATTAAATTAGCTAGCGACACAAAGAGTAACAAGAAAACATTTTACATTCTGAAGCTAAAATAGGGAAGAACAAGTTAAAAATTATTTAGGGCTAGTCTACACTGGCTATGTTAAAGTGCTGCACCTCCACAGTTTTTTCACACCCCTGAGCAAGAAAGTTGCAGCGCTGTAAATTGCCAGTGTAGACAAGCCCTTAGATATTACTAGATGTCTTCAAGTCAGCAGAGCCTGAGGAAATGCATCCTAGAATACTCAAGGAACTGACTGAGGAGATATCTAAGCCATTAGCAATTATCTTTGAAAATTTATGGAAGATGGGAGAGATTTCAGAGTCCTGGAAGAGGGCAAATATAGTGCCAATCTATAAAAAAAGGGAATAAGGACAACCTGGAGAATTACAGACCAGTCAGCTTAACTTCAGTACCTGGAAAGATAATGGAGCAAATAATCAAGCATTCAATTTGCACACACCCAGAAGATAATAAGGTGATTATTAACAGTCAACATGGGTTTGTCAAGAACAAATCCTGTCAAACCAACCTAATAGGTTTCTTTAACAGGATAACAAGCCTTGTGGGTGGGGGGAAGCAGTAGATGTGTGGTATATCTTGATTTTAGTAAGGCTTTTGATAGGCTATGTCTACACTG